CCCTCCCCTTTGGAGCCACATGTGACAGCATCTCTCTCCTCTCTCTTCCGTCGGCCCAGTGGCATCTTCAGCCCCTTTGTCACCATCTACCGGGAAGAGGGCATCCTGGGCTTCTTTGCGTGAGTCCTGTGGCCAGGAGGCAGTGGGAGCCCTTGGGAGGCGGGTGTGTGCACCTTGTGGGGGTGGGAACGGGGGAGGGCACCCCTGGGAGGCGGGCATGTGCACCCTGTGGGAGTGGGAATGGGGGGAGGGCACCCCTGGGAGGTGGGGGTGGGAACGGGGGCAGGTGCCCTTGGGAGGCGGGCGTGTGCCCCCTGCGGGGGTGAAAACGGGGGGAGGGCACCCCAGGAGGTGGGGGTGGGTGCACTTGGGAGGCGGGCGTGTGCCCCCTGCGGGGGTGGGAATGGGGGGAGGGCACCCCTGGGAGGCAGGGGTGGGAACGGGGGTGGGTGCCCTTGGGACACAGGGGCCCGTCCAGCTTGTCAGGGGGCTCCTGCCAGCCTGGGCCCGGGGGGCACCCTGTGTTCACTCACCTGCTGTGTTTCTTTCAGGGGGCTCGTTCCCCGGCTGCTGGGCGACGTGCTGTCGCTGTGGCTCTGTAACATGCTGGCCTACCTCATCAATACCTATGCACTGGAGAACGGGGTAGGCCCCTGCGGCATTGTGCTGGTGGCTGCCCAGGGTGTGGGGCCTGGAGGCAAACGGAGTTCAGGAGGTCTGGGGGGTGACCCGCTCAGCCCGGGAAGATCCCATCTCTGCTGGGCCTGGCCTACGCTCCCCTTTGTTTGCTACTCTCCCAGCGCCTGGCCGGGGATCCTGTCCTAGCAGCGTCCGTGACCCGCATGGGGGCAGTTTGGGTTTCAGGCCCTGGCAGAGCCCAGAGTGCAGACGCGGTGCGGGGAATCGGGGCAGAGGCAGCCCCCTGTGTCGGGATGGAGGGGCCGGGCTGTGGCAGGGTGCAGGGTCTCCTTGTTCAATGCGTTTCCCTCTCTCTAGGTCTCCACCATGAGCGAGATGAAGAGCTACTCACAGGCTGTCACTGGAGTGCGTGTGTAACCCTGACTCTCCTCTCGGGGCTGGGGGTGGGGTAGCCCCACAGAATTGCCCTGGGGTGGGAGGGGCCAGTTTGAGGGAACCATGGGGTGGGAGGTTGGTGCCCTTATGTGAGTCTAAATCACTAGCTAGTGCTGCATGGTGGGTGAGCTCTCCACCCTCTCGTGCACCTTGGCCTGGCCCCGCCCCTGGGGCTCTGCCCAGCCGGCCCCCTCCCCTTGGGCATGTTGTGCCCGCTGCCCTACCCGTCCAGCCCATATCTGTCCCGAGCAGGCACTGCTGCCTGGCTCAGACCATGTGCTCTCTGGTAGGGCAGGACAAAGACCTCCTTGCCCAGGAGAAAGTCAGTGAGTGCCAGGGTCCCAGCACATGGAGAAGACTGCAGCAGTGCCCTGCTGTGCTGGGAGCTGCACAGATGGTCTCTGCCCCACTAAGACACCCTCCCTCTCCATTGTGCTCCTGCGGCTGGGGGGCTCCCATGAGGGGCTGCGGAGCCAGCGCCCCGCCCTGTTAACTGTGGCCCATCTCTCGTGCCTGCAGTTCTTCGCCAGTATGCTGACGTACCCCTTTGTGCTCGTCTCCAACCTGATGGCCATTAACAACTGCGGGTGAGTGTCCCGCACGCTGTCCCGAGCCAG